ATATATTTTAAATTCATGCTAGCTATAGGTAAATAGCACATGGAAACACTTAATTCTAAGTAAAATGATGAGTGTTTTATTTTATGTAATTGCATAAGTTAAAGTTTCGAAAAGGAATTGCAAACACCCCACTATTAAAAACATCTCAAATTTATGTTGATTATAGGTAGATAACACTTGGAGACACTTAATTAAAAGTAAAACGATGGAATGTTCTATTTTACGTAATTGCTTACGTTAAAATTTCGTAAGAAAATTATAAATACACCCCATATATTACTTTATACACTTTCACTATTAAATACATTTCAAATTCATATTGACTATAGATAAATAACACGTAGAGACATTTAATTACGAGTAAAACGGTGAAATATTCTATTTTATGTAATTATATATGTCAAAATTTTGAAGAAAAATTCTAAATACACCTCATATTTTACTTTGTATATCCTACTATTAAATAATCTAAAATTCATGTCAACAATAGGTATATAGCATGTGAAGATACTTAATTGCTAAGTATTTCATTTTATGTAATTGCGTATGTTAAAGTTTCGAAGAAAAATACATATCAAACTTATGTCAACTATGGGTAGATAGCACGTGAAAATACTTAATTGTTAGTGAAATGGTGAAAGGTTATATTTTATGTAATTGCATCCATCAAAATTTTAAAGGAAAATTCTAAATACACCCCATATATTACTTAATTGCGAGTGAAACGTTGGAAGGTTCTATTTTACGTAATTACATTGATCAAAATTTCAAAGAGAAATTCTAAATAACCCCATATATTACTTTATACGCCCCACTATTAAATACATCTCAAATTCATGTTGATTATGGGTAGATAACATGTGGAAACACTTAATTACGAGTGAAATGATGGAAGGTTCTATTTTATGTAATTACATCCATCAAAGTTTCGAAGGAAAATTTTAAATACACCTTATATATTACTTTATACATCCCATTATAAATACATCTCAAATTCATGTCGATTATGGGTTGATAGCACGTGAAGATACTTAACAGTAGAAGGTTTTATTTATGTAATTGCATACATCAAAGTTTCAAAGAGAAATTTTAAATACACTCCATCTATTAGTTTATACACCCCACTATTAAATACATCTCAAGTTCGTGTGACTATGAGTATATAGAACATGAAGACAGTTAATTACGAGTGAAACCGTAAAAAGTTTTATTTTATGTAATTACATTCGTCAAAGTTTCAAATGAAAATTTTAAATGCATCTCATATATTACTTTATACACTCTACTATTAAATACATCTCAATTTCAAAATTAAAATATTTATTTCTATTAAATACACCTTATCGTTCATTAATCCATTTTCCCTTCATACCCTTAAACCATTCTTCATTCTCCCTTCTCTCTTCACTTTCAATCCAAAATTAACTCTAAATTCATCAAATTAACCCCAAAATCACTTTTTTTTTTATTCTTTCATTGATTACAGGTAAGATTTCAAGTTTATCTTGATTGATTTGATTTAAATGTATGTAAAGATAGGTTAAGGTTTATGATTTTAATTTTGTAGAATTTGAGCTTCTTAGAAAATGAATTTCAAGAAATTTTTAAGGTTCTCAAAAATGAATTTTCAAGAAGGAAGGAATCAAGAAAAGAAAAAAAGAAATACTTGAATCCTATTTGATTTCATCCAAATTTATTAGTGTTTTCTCTGATCCAACTGAGGATACGATGCTTCCTAGGAAAATGTAAATCAGGTAGAGCCTATTCTTCCAATTTTTTTGTCCATTTACCACAAATCAGCCGTTGGACAAAAAGAAAGACGAAAATGAAAATCACATTTATACTACATTATTTATTGTATGAGTAGCATTCCAGGCAGTAAACCCACAATTATAAAGAAAACACCAATGTTTACCCATTTGGTAGAGAGGGATTCAAAAAATAAAGTCTAGTCTCCAGCATGTAACTTTGATCTTGTGTTGTCGATTGCCAGTAAGCTGACTCTTTTTTGCCTTGAATCATCATGGCCATTACACCAGATAGTCAAAATCATCCTGGTTCTTACTGCAACATGGTATCATGTACTTTGACAAGTATGACATTATTTCTTGAATGTTTTTTTATCAGAATTTTCAGCACAGGTAAACCAATATCTTAAATTAATGTTCAATTGTAAGGTTTTATACTCCAAAACTGAAAACATGTTTCTTTGAGCTGCAATTCCAGAAATGGAAAGCTTTTTATCATTCAAAGCATGACACTAATGCACGTCCACAGGCAACTATCAAGCTATTAATTCTCATTGTAATTGAACTAAACCATATTTAAAGCTCAGACACTTTCCACCAATATGGATTTCGCTAATTTAGGGAGTTTTAGAAAACGTTTCCATTTCTAAATTCCTAAATCTGCAAAATTGGAAAACAAAGGATTCAATGCATTGTTAAAAAAAAGGTGGCAAACCACTTTCAATAATTCTCCAAAATTATAGAAAACTGGAAAGCAAGACTCTTTATTTCATCGAGGATGATTTTGCTAATTAGTGGTTTTAAGGCACTTGCTAAGGTTTAAAAGCACTTATTAAGATTAGTTAAGTTACTATTTATAGTAATATTTTATAGTAAATGCAACACTTAATGGTTAATTTCATGTAGGGAAATTCTATTTATACCTTATTTATTACCTATACACCCTATTTATAAATACACCCCAAATTCAAAATTCAATTTTTTATTTCCACTAAATACATTTCACCCCTCACTTTCTACTTTTCATTCTTACCCTTTTTTTTTTCTCTTTATTTTTTGAAATTAAACTTCTCAAAAATAGATATTCACGAAGTTTTGAGGATTTTCGAAAATGAATATATGATAAACTTTAAAGATTCTCAAATATTCAGTTTTAAAAAGCCTCAAAATTTCTCAAATATCTATTTTTAAGAAGCCTTGAGTTTTTTCGAATATCTATTTTTAAAAAGATTCAAAATTTCTCATATTACCATTTTCGAGAAGCTCGATTTTATTTTTAGTCACTAAAAATTTTAATCATGCACTTATAAATTCATTTACTTGATTATGTATGTGAATAAAATTGAAATCAATATTTTCAAGCATACATGGCACAAATTTGTTCTTTCTCCTAAAATTCTAAAAAACCAAGAACACTATCTTTTGGTTTTCTGATCTTTGGGTCTTGCATGAGTAAAACATACTTTTGGTTTTTTGGTCTCAAGACAAAAATACTTTTATATACATGCATGCTTGAGAACTAACATTTTTATTCAATTCGTATATATGATCAAGTAAGAATGGCATATCAATGACTCCTGTGTGCAAGCATGTTAGTCCAAGCTTCAATAATTTATAGAACATTAACCATGACAATGTCATCAATAAACTGATAAATCCAACAATAAGGATTTCTAATGTTTTAACTGTCAAGATACAGGTGATTTAAATATTAGAAGTTTCTATTATCAGAATTAAGTAATATATCAAAAAAATCATTAAAAATGTTTGAAGATTCTAGCATATCAGATTTATTTATTTTAGTATTATTTATTTTAAAAGTAAATATATTTATTTTATTTAAATTAAAATCAAAGGTTATAAAGAGTTTATAATTAAATATATATTTAAATAAAAATTTATGTATTTTCGAAAATGAATTTTTAAGAATACAATATAATTCTTAAAAATTTATTTTAAAAAACACAATATAATTCTCAGAAATAAATTTCCTAAAATTATATTGTGTTATTGGAAATAAATTTTCGAGAACACATTATAACTTTAGGAAATACATTTTTGAGATTTATGAATGTGATTTTTGTGTGTTTAAGTTATTATTAATCATATTTTTGTCATTTACTATAGATTAAAATCGATAATTGTTATGTGGATATTTTTGAAAAAAATTTTTGATGATGTATAAAGAAAATTTTATTGCGTACTTAAAAGCCCTCTTTCATGAATTTCCAACGCATTGAAACTTGTAATTTACTCAACAAATTCATGGACAAAACTTATATAAAGTTATTTAGATGAAATTTGTAAAATTTTTTTATAAATGATTTAACACAAATTTAAATTAAAAATTCAAACAGATAGATTAATAAAATTAAATGTGAAAATCAATAATATATAAAAAAGTTATTAATAATATTATTTATAATTTAAATTTGATTAATACTAAAAATTTCATTAATATTTTTATTAAAAATATTTATTTAATAAGTATATCAACATTTAGTAAATTGTTTTTGAAATTTTTACAAGTTTGATTTATTTGATGAGATTTTTTTAATTTATCAATTTTGATCTTTTATTTTAATTTTTATTTATTTGTTTTTAATAAAAAAAACTTTATGAACTTTACGAATAAAACTTAATGTAAATCTTGTCCGCAAACCTATAATACGAGAATGAAGATGGAAAAAAAAAAAAATTTTTTTAAATTACCATTAGGTGAAAAACCGAAACTTGGGGTTGGGGGCTACTCGAGAAGCATTTATCGAGGTTTTGAGCCTAAGTTCTTTAATATAAGGCTATAAACTTTTGGAAAGCCTCGTAAATCTTTTCTTAGAAACTTTGAAAAATAAAAAGATTAAAAATATTTTGACTCTGGTCATCAATGGATTATTCCAGTCTTCCAATATACTTAATTATGAACAGTATTTCCAAAATGCTGCTCACACATTCACGGCTTAGGTTATTGTCTTTTCGCAAGAATGTGTTCTCACCTGCTGCTTAACTGCTATCATTTTGGACCATTATCCAACAAAAATTGGCCAAGAAAATAAAGCTATTGATAAATTTTAAACCTCGTAATAATTTTTATGAATATGTTAAACATAAAAAAATATTTTTTATTTTTGTAAAACTCGTAGTTTCAATAAAATTTGTAATCAAATTCTTAGTTGGAGTTAAGAAATGGCAAGAGGAATTGAAAGAAGACATCAATTTTGTTGAGATTCATGATGACTAAACCGGAACATCACATTAGAAAAATGTAAAACGGCTTTAAATTTACTTAAACATAACAAATTCGAAAATAGAATTCCAGAAAGTCCAACTGTTTAAAAAAGGTATCTGAGACAAGATGCAACCAAGTAATTGCTGCATGACAGCTTACAGACCCAGAGTTTTGTCCTTGTATGATGTAGACTACAATGAAATAATAAAGGTGTTGGTTATTATTTTGGCAATCATCATAAAACAAGAAAATAAATTAACCACCAACATTAGCCTGCCATCCTATTCAACCTACAAGGGTAACTAAAACATTACCCAACATTTTGTGATCAATCGATTTGTTGGGTGAATCATAGCCAACCCTACTGAGTATCTGTTACCTTGTATAGATACAGGTCCCAAACTTCAGACTCACAGAAATAATCAGGACGAAAAATAACATCATGACGAACCACCCTCTTGAAACAACAGACCCTGTCTTGCCAGAGAGTAGCCTAGCCATTGGCAGAAAGCTGGAAGAGTTAATATCACCTTGTGGCAAGCTAAATGAAAGAACAAGGTTGACATTCCCATTTTTGCTGTATGACCAGTCCAACCGATTGCCAGATGAAGTCATGTTTGGTATTCTTATCATGCCAGCCGTTACATGAACAGAACTGGAAGCATGTGTTAAAGAATTTAGCTTGAGAGCTGCATCTTTTGAAGGGAACTCAGAGGCAAATGCAGGAGGAGCAGGAAAGCTACCCAACATCTGACTGGCCTTTTTAATAAATGGATAATTGGTACCTATACCATAGAGAATGAACCAAAAGTGAGCCCAAATGAATACAAATGTTGAAATACAACTTGCAAAAAAGCTCAAAGAGCTAAATTATTTCCAGCATCTTACCAGGTTCAAATTTTGTGGCCTCCAGCTCTTGCTTTGAAGAGGAGGCATCACCGTTGCCATGCTCTTCCTTACGTTCACTTGCATTAGACACTTGTTCAGTTCCTTCATTTGAATGCTGTTATCATGTAATAAGTTAATTAGAAGCTGCAAAAGCTTTTGCATGTATTAAGACATAATGAAGACAGGAAAGAATTATGCACCGTTTGGGCAAGAGGTTCTTGGCCAGAAACAGGTATATTACTCCCTGCCATTTGATCAAAATCAAAAGCCGGAGGCAGCTCAACAGCATCATCAAATTTAAGATACTCATCAGGGTCAAAAAGTTCAGATTCTGTGTAAATGGGGTTTGAAAGATCATTAGCTTCCAGGAAAGGTTCATAATTGGTTGGAAGATAATCATTAACATCCGGGTATGGCTCTTTGGGCAAATAGTTGTTGTCTGCAGGATTGATGTTTTCAATTGGTTCAAGCAAATAATCATCCTTCACTGGTTTTGCATTTGCAGCTATCTCATTTGGATCAGGTAAATTAGAGACCATATGGTCATGATGCACCTTTGAATCACTTTCAGTGGCAAGCATGGCAGTAGGCTTCAAATAATCTTCACTGAACTCCCTTGAATGATCAGCATGGTTGCTTGATTCCCCATAATAGAAGTTGGAAGGGAGAATTGCATTCTCGGACATGTTGTCAGGTGGCTTTTGATTGTCTTGACTGAACTCCCTTGAATATTCAACATGGTTGCTTGATTCCCCATGATAGAAGTTCAATGGACGGATAGCATTTTCAGCAGGATTGCCAACATCAGGATTCTGGCAAGAAGCAACAATTGTCAAAATTTTGATCATTCAAATTCATACAAATCAAGGCTGACAAGGCATGGCAGAATTACTGAGTAAAGGGAAAATAATACTTTTGATTAGAACAAGGGACAAAATAATTACCAAGAGAATGGCTTACAACCAACATATGCCTACTAGTAATAAATAATAAAGAGAAGGATACATCTAACAATGAAGCCAATTCATCAATAGCATGAGTGTCTGACCTTGCACTGCTACATGCTATCATTGTATTCACTAAATCCATAACAAATTAGAAAGACATGGCTCACAGATTTCATATGCATGCGAAGCCTGATGAGTGAATTTGGTTGGAGGGATTTACCCACAGCAACGATATGACTTCAAGCACAAGCATCACTTAATGGCAAATTGATCACAAAGAAAGCCTAGAAAAAGTAAACAGTCTTAGGCACTCTACACACAGAAATACAGCATATGTGCCCCATTCCACCATAAACTAAGCAGCATTTTTCTTGAAAATCATCTTATTCAACAGAAGAGCAGAAAATTTTGAAAACGTGCCAAGGTCCCAAGAGAGCAAGTGGAGTGAGCATGTTTCTTTTTAACTAAAAACAAGGTGCATGGAGTTAAATAGCTTGCCTAGGAATACTTACCAGCTTATCCTATCATTTAAAATACTAGTTACTAGCTACTACCATTCTCAGTTTAAGTTGCAAGCTATTATACAATAAAATCACTAATGTATATAACATAAATATAGCAAATGTCAAGTTGGCAACCATAAAACTAGCCCAAAAACATCACACCTGGTCAATATCATTCACTTCAACAAAAGCACCATCATTAGCAACCTCTCCATACACTGCCACAGCATGTTGGCCAGGCACAAAAACTGCCTCATCAGCCTCCCACTCTTCTTCAATAAAAGGAGCCCCATACTGTTCCCCGTTCTTTGGCCCAGACCCACTCTTTTGAAACACCCTACACAATACAAAAGCATCCTTCCAGCCCCGAGAACCCAATGTTAATTCCCAAATAAACATCGAAGTTCAAACACCAAACACTACAACAAAGATTGTAATCTTACTTGTTGAATCTCAGCTTTCTCCAATGCCTCATCAGTAAGGCGATACTCGTGCATTACCCAATTAGTCCTTTCACCACGTGGGGCACGGCCTTTGTGATAAACAAGGGTTTTCTTCATGCCAACAACTCTTTCACTATGGCGGATTGGACGGTCCTTGCCAGTTGTCTTCCAGTAACCTCTTTCAGTTGCCCTATTGGTCCTCCACCCGTTCCCATATTTCTTGTCCAGTGCACTGAAGAAGTACCACTCCAAGTCCCTGCTCTTCAGCTTTGACTTATCTATTAAAAAGAAAATCTTCATTCACAACTAAAAAGAACTCACCCTAAAATCTAGTTACATAGAAAAATACAAGATTAAACTTACAGTGGATATCTACAAAATGAAACTTAAGTGGGAAGTAAGAAACCCCAATTCAGGAATTATATATTATAAAACGAGAACACCTAAAATAGGCTCAAAGTGGATATCTTCAAACGTTTTAAAACGGATAATTGAAAATTTAACCCAAAATTAGAAATTTAAATACACAATTGACTAAGTAACAACATCCCGTTTCTAAAAATTTGAAATAAAAAACCCTAAAAGAAACTTAAGCTCAAAATGGGCATCTTCAAAAGTGAAAATTAAGCGGACTAGTTAGAAAACCCAATTCAAGAATTATATATATATAAAAAAAAAACCCTTAAATAGGCTTAAATTGGCTATCTTCAAAAGTTTTAAATGGAAATTTGAAAATTTAACCCAAATTAGGAATATAAATATATATGATTGACCAAGCAACAACATTCCAATTTTAAAAAAAATTGATATGAAAAACGAAGCTTAAACTCAACTGGAAATCTTCAAGAATCAAACTTTAAAGCACAAATTTGAAATTTACCCTAAAACAAGTGAATCTAACATATACTAACGAAAAAAGAAAACCCAATTCGTAAACTTGAAATATAGGACAAAATTGAAAAATTAAACCAAAATTCAAGAATCAAACAAACAATTGATCAAGCCAAACAAAACAAAATTTAAATTGAAAAACTTACCAGGGAGATCCCAAGGCTCGGATCTGTAAATATCGATAACAGAGATTGCGTCAAAGAAAGGCTTGTTCAAGATTTTGCGTTTCAGATAGTAACGAACGAGTTCTTCATCCGTCGGGTGGAACCGGAACCCAGGAGCTAGCGAGGTTGCCGAGTCACTGCTCATCGAGTCACCAACAAAAAGTAGAATTAAAAATCAGGGATTTGAAGAACTGAAGATTTTATTTTGGAGTCATAAAAATTAGGGTTCGCGTTAATTTTTTTTTTCCTTTCTTGGGGTTAGCCGGCGTTGGAAGAAAGGAAGTGAACAACAGCCATTGTCAGAAAAACTGTTGGCAAGTTTCGAAGGTGGAGTTCTAATTTATAGTGGACAAGAGATGGGCCTAGATGATAATGTTACCGGACTGGGATATAATGTATCTCACTGAGGGAGTAACACGTGGATGTCTAGACTATTGATGATACCACGAGGAAACACTCAATTGAGAGTGAAATAATAAAAAATTTTATTTTACGTAATTACATACATCAAAATTAAAAAAAAAATTAAATACATTTTATATATTATTATACATTCCATTATTAAATATAAATTTATGCTAATTAGGAACAGATAGCACATCGAAACATTTAATTATGAGTAAAATAATAAAAAATTTTATTTTACGTAATTACAAACGTCAAAATTTTAAAGAAAAATTTTAAATATATATAATGTATTACTTTATACACTTCACTATTAAATACATCTCAAATTCATGTTGAACATGGCTCGATAGCATGTAGAGATACTTAATTACGAGTGAAACAGTAAAAAGTTTTATTTTACATAATTATACACCTCAAAGTTTTGAAAGAAAATTATAAATACACCTCATATATTATTTTATACACCTTATTATTAAATACATCTCAAATTCATATCTATTATGAGTAGATGGCACGTGGAGACACTTAATTATGAGTGAAATAGTGGAAGGTTTTATATTACGTAATTGCATACGTTAAAGTTTCGAAAGAGAATTCTAAATACATCTAATACATTAGTTTATACACCCACTATTAAATATATCTTAAATTCATGACACTTAATTGTGAGTGAAACTATGAAAGATTTTATTTTATGTAATTGCATATGTCAAAGTTTCAAAAAGAAATTCTAAATACACATAATATATTACTTTATACACCCCACTATCAAATATATCTCAAATTCATGTTGATTATGGGTAGATAACACATTGAGATACTCAATTGTGTGAATGGTAGAAGGTTTTATATTACGTAATTGCATACGTCAAAGTTTCAAAGAAAAATTCTAAATACAGCTAATATATTACTTAATACATCTCACTATTATATACATCTCAAATTCATACCAACTATGGGTGAATAATACGTTGAGACATTTAATTGCCAGTGAAACAATGGAAGGTTTTATGTTACATAATTGCATACGTCAAAGTTTCAAAGAGAAATTTTAAATACACCTTGTATATTACTTTATACACCCTACTATTAAATATATCTCAAATTCATATCGATTATGAGTAGATGGCACGTGGAGACACTTAATTATGAGTGAAACAGTGGAAGGTTCTATATTACGTAATTGCATACGTTAAAGTTTTGAAGGAGAATTCTAAATACACCTAATATATTACTTTATACACTCACTATTAAATATATCTTAAATTCATGACATTTAATTGTGAGTGAAACTGTGAAAGATTTTATTTTACGTAATTGCATATGTCAAAGTTTCAAAAAAAATTTCTAAATACACATAATATATTACTTTATACACCTCACTATCAAATATATCTCAAATTCATGCTGATTATGGGTAGATAACACATTGAGATACTTAATTGTGTGAAATGGTAGAAGGTTTCTATATTACGTAATTGCATACGTCAAAGTTTCAAAGAAAAATTCTAAATACACCTAATATATTACTTAATACATCTCACTATTATATACATCTCAAATTCATACCAACTATGGGTGAATAACACGTTGAGACATTTAATTGCCAGTGAAACAATGGAAGGTTTTATGTTACATAATTGCATACGTCAAAGTTTCAAAGAGAAATTTTAAATACACCTTATATATTACTTTATATACCCTACTATTAAATACATCTCAAATTCATATCGATTATGAGTAGATGACACGTGGAGACACTTAATTACGAGTGAAACAGTGGAAGGAATACATCTCAAATTCATATCGATTATGAGTAGATGGCACGTGGAGACATTTAATTACAAGTGAAATAGTGGAAGATTCTATATTACGTAATTGCATACGTTAAAAGTTTTGAAGGAGAATTCTAAATACACCTAATACATTTCTTTATACACCCACTATTAAATATATTTTAAATTCATGACACTTAATTGTGAGTGAAACTGTGAAAGATTTTATTTTATGTAATTGCATATGTCAAAGTTTCAAAAAAGAAATTTTAAATACACATAATATATTACTTTATACACCCCACTATCAAATATATCTCAAATTCATGCTGACTATGGGTAGATAACATATTGAGATACTTAATTGTGTGAAATGGTAGAAGGTTCTATATCACGTAATTGCATACGTCAAAGTTTCAAAAGAAAATTCTAAATACACCTAATATATTGCTTAATACACCTCACTATTATATATATCTCAAATTCATACCAACTATGGGTGAATAATATGTTGAGACATTTAATTGCCAGTGAAATAATGGAAGGTTTTATGTTACATAATTGCATACGTCAAAGTTCAAAGAGAAATTTTAAATACACATTGTATATTACTTTATACACCCTACTATTAAATATATCTCAAATTCATATCGATTATGAGTAGATGGCACGTGGAGACACTTAATTACGAGTGAAACAGTGGAAGGTTCTATATTACGTAATTGCATACGTTAAAGTTTTGAAGGAGAATTCTAAATACACCTAATATATTACTTTATACACCCACTATTAAATATATCTTAAATTCATGACACTTAATTGTGAGTGAAACTGTAAAAGATTTTATTTTACGTAATTGCATACGTCAAAGTTTTAAAAAGAAATTCTAAATACACATAATATATTACTTTATACACCTCACTATCAAATATATCTCAAATTCATGCTGATTACGGGTAGATAACACATTGAGATACTTAATTGTGTGAAATGGTAGAAGGTTTTATATTACGTAATTGCATACGTCAAAGTTTCAAAGAAAATTCTAAATACAGCTAATATATTACTTAATACACCTCACTATTATATACATCTCAAATTCATACCACTATGGGTGAATAACACGTTGAGACATTTAATTGTCAGTGAAACAATGGAAGGTTTTATGTTACATAATTGCATACGTCAAAGTTTCAAAGAGAAATTTTAAATACACCTTATATATTACTTTATACACCCTACTATTAAATATATCTCAAATTCATATCGATTATGAGTAGATGGCACGTGAAGACACTTAATTACGAGTGAAACAGTGAATGTTCTATATTACGTAATTGCATACGTTAAAGTTTTGAAGGAGAATTCTAAATACACTAATATATTACTTTATACACCCACTATTATATATCTTAAATTCATGACACTTAATTGTGAGTGAAATTGTGAAAGATTTTATTTTACGTAATTACATATGTCAAAGTTTCAAAAAGAAATTCTAAATACACATAATATATTACTTTATACACCTCACTATCAATATATATCTCAAATTCATGCTGACTATGGGTAGATAACACATTGAGATACTTAATTGTGTGAAATAGTATAAGGTTCTATATTACGTAATTGCATACGTCAAAGTTTCAAAGAAAAATTATAAATACACCTAATATATTACTTAATACACCTCACTATTATATATATCTCAAATTCATACCAACTATGGGTGAACAACACGTTGAGACATTTAATTGCCAGTGAAACAGTGGAAGGTTTTATGTTACATAATTGCATACGTCAAAGTTTCAAAGAGAAATTTTAAATACACCTTATATATTACTTTATACACCCTACTATTAAATACATCTCAAATTCATATCAATTATGAGTAGATGGCACGTGGAGACACTTAATTACGAGTGAAATAATGGAAGGTTCTATATTACGTAATTGCATACGTTAAAGTTTCAGAGGAGAATTCTAAATACACCTACTACATTACTTTATACACCCACTATTAAATATATCTTAAATTCATGACACTTAATTGTGAGTGAAACTGTGAAAGATTTTATTTACGTAATTGCATATGTCAAAGTTTCAAAAAAAAAAATTTAAATACACATAATATATTATTTTATACACCTCACTATCAAATATATCTCAAATTCATGCTGACTATGGGTAGATAACACATTGAGATACTTAATTGTGTGAAATGGTAGAAGGTTCTATATTACGTAATTGCATACGTCAAAGTTTCAAAGAAAAATTCTAAATACACCAATATATTACTTAATACACCTAATATATTACTTAATACACCTCACTATTATATACATTTCAAATTCATACCAACTATGGGTGAATAACACGTTGAGACATTTAATTGCCAGTGAAACAGTGGAAGGTTTTATGTTACATAATTGCATACGTCAAAGTTTCAAAGAGAAATTTTAAATACACCTTATATATTACTTTATACACCATATTATTAAATACATCTCAAATTCATAATGACTATGGATATGTAGCGCGTAGAGACACTTAATTGTAAGTGAAACAATAGAATATTCTATTTTATGTAATTACATACGTCAAAGTTTCAAAGAAGAATCTAAATACACTTCATATATTACTTTATATACCTTATTATTAAACACATCTCAAATTCTTGTCGACTATGGGTAGATAGCATATAGAGACACTTAATTGCAAGTGAAACGGTGGAAGGTTTTATTTTACGTAATTGCATAGTCAAATTTTCGAAGGGGAATTCTAAATACACCTTACTATTCAATATATCTCAAATTCATGCTGTCTATGGGTAGATAGCACGTGAAGACACTTAACTATAAGTGAAATGGTGGAAAGTTCCATTTTATGTAATTGTATGCACCAAAGTTTTAAAGGAGTGAAAATAATGGAAGGTTCTATTTTATGTAATTGCATACGCCAAAATTTTTAAAGGGAATTTTAAATACACATCATATATCATTTTATGCAACTCCCACTATTAAATATATCTCAAAGTCATGTCGAATATTGATAGATAGCACGTGGAGACACTAAATTGCTAGTGAAATGGTGAAATGTTCTATTTTATGTAATTATATACGTCAAAGTTTTTGAAAAAGAATTTTAAATACACTCTCATATATTACTTTATACACTTCATTATTAAATACATCTCAAATTCATGTCGATTATGGGTTGATAATATGTTGAGACCACTTAATTGCGAGTGAAATGATGGAAAATTGTATTTTATGTAATTGCATACGTTAGAGTTTCAAAGGGAAATTCTAAATACACCTTATATATTACTTTATACACCTTACTATTAAATAACATTTCAAATTCATGTTGACTATGGGTAGATAGTACATGGAGACACTTAATTGTGAGTGAAATGGTGGAAAATTCTATTTTACGTAATTGTGTACGTCAAAGTTTGAAAAAGAATTCTAAATATATCCCATATATTACTTTATACGCCCTATTATTAAATACATCTCAAATTCATGTCAACTATGGATAGATAGAACATGAAGACATTTAATTAAAAGTGAAACAATAGAAGATTTTATTTTATGTAATTGCAGACGTCAAAGTTTCAAAAGGTAATTCTAAGTACAACTTATATATTATTTTATACACCATACTATTAAATACATCTAAAATTCATGTCGAATTATTGATAGATATCATGTGGAGACAATTAATTACGAGTGAAACAGTGAGTTTTTATTTTACGTAATTGCTTTTGTCAAAAGTTTTGAAAAGAAATTCTAAATATACCCTATATATTACTTTATATTACAATATTTATTTAATAAATTAACTGAATATTAAGAGAAGTCTATTTCGTTCATTTTTTTTTTTTGTGAACAAATTTGTTTAATGTTTGTGAACAAATTTAATAAATATTTATTTACATTTTGTTTTATTCCTTTTAAGATGATTACTTTATAATTAAATATTTTTAACAAAATTTTAATCATAATTTAATATTAATACATTAAAAAAATACACTCAACGTATATTAAAAATCTTTGTAATATTATTTATAATTTTTAATTGCCTAAAATCAACAATAAACAAGTTATAGAGGAGAATTTTTATTTATAATCTTTTTATTTTACATAGCTTGAAAAATTAATGTAGGGAAGAAAACTGTTTATAAATAGGCATTTTCCTTCTCTTTTCGAGAGTGTAAATAATTGGTTTGTAAGATCAATTTCTTACTTATTGGTTTACGTTTGTCAATGTTCATTTAAATGTTCGTAAATATAGTCATTTAATATTTACAATAAATTTGTTTAACTTAAACAAATTTATTTCAAATTAAACTTGATTATTTTAATATCTAAATAAATTGAGCTCAAACATAACATAAAATTTTTTTATTAAATTTAAATGATCATAAAAATAAATGAACGAACCACGAATAAAACAATGTTTATTTTTTTGAAATAAAAGGAAAAATTTTTATCAAAATGAAAATTCAAATAAACTTATTTTTAAAAAATTATTCCATCCAATGATACATAAGATTTCAAACGAGATTAATAAAATGACAAACAACTTTTAATATATATTAATTAAATAAATAAGATATATTTCAATCTTTTAATCCTATAAAATTAAAATTTTTTCTAAAAACCAATTCCACCAACTACACAGAATCTACTAACATCTGAACTGCATAACTAGAATTATAAATTATTGTATTATTCAAAGATATAACACACGTTTACAGGGGAGGAATAATTTTCACATGTTCTTTGCTTTCATCAAACATCCAAAGTTTCACACTGATTTAAAATTTACACTTTTCATTATTATAATTAATTTTAAACATAACATAAAACTTGAATATAGACCAAGGATGAGCAGAACCCAACAACGAGAATTAAACATAACTGTCGATCAATGACTTCCTCATCTCATCTACAATGGCACTAGGTTGTGCTTCTCTCAGCTTGAAGACACTCTCGATGACAGAAAGTTCTGTTGCTGTGGTGTCTGACCCGCAAAAGGCGGTCCAGTCATTTACGGTCATTCCAGCAGCTATTACATCGCTCCCACGGTTGATAGTGCCAGCCACCAATGGAACTTGAAGAAGTGTTGATAGCTCATCCAAGTCTTCAATTGATGTATGAGAATGGACCTGCACCAGTCAAGAGGCAAATTCAGAAAAAAAAATGAGGAAAAAAAGAGGTTATCATCAGTGCTAGAAGAGATTCTATCTTACCAAGCCACCCCAATTAGAAAAGGAACAGTAGCTCCCTACGAGAATATTACCAGCAATTGTCTGTCTGAAAACTTCTACGCCTAGAACATCAGCAATTATCTCCTCAGTTTCCTGATCAAAGTTGCAGATAAACGATATAATAAGCATATTGTAAAATCTTAAGGTAAAGAAGAAGATTTCCACATTCATGCTCAAGTCAACCACATATGACATGGAAAGATTAACTTCAAATAAACAACACATTTTCCTCAGAAGGTAAAACTAGGCACTGACTACTTATGGAAAAACCAACAAGGATGTGCGTACACCCTGATAAACTCTTCATAATCTCTGGAAGAATCAGGGAGAAAAGTTTTAAAAAGTAACTAAGGCTAAAGAAACCATGTTCTGATTTTTTTTTTCCTGACATTCTGCTTATTAAACATTGAAAAGAAAAATAAATGTTGAGGATATTGAGGAATACACATACAACCTCAGATTAAAGGATAATTCAAAACTTAAGTTATCATTTCAAACCAAGATTCTCAGCCAAGTAAAGGTCCGTGACTGCTAAGCACTCAACACTGCACTTAGATATTAGCATATATATATATATATATATATATATCTTAATAAACTATTCCAGTGAAATATAGAATTTTACCCTGTCTAGATCAGTATGTGTCAAAGCAACATGGTCATTGCATGCTATACAGTTCCCCAAAGCAGATAGTTTCTCCTCAATGCGCTGAACAACGACTTGATCTGGTAGACTATTTCGCAAGTGTTGAAGTTCTTGAATAAGAAAGAATAACAAAAAATCCATCATTAATGTCACAAACTAAGGTTAAACCTTTAAACTAGTGAACTAGAATTCTAGATCAAATACACTATTAGCCTACAAAGACAAAAAAATGTGATTAAAATCCTCTAGGGCTTACATGCAAAAGGAATGTGATTGAAAGCCTCTAGGGCTTACATGCAAAACTGAACCAACTTGCACTTGAAAAATCAAATTAGAGGCAGAATATACATAAACCAAGGGATTTAAGTTTAAGGTTAGGAGTGTGATTGAAAGCCTCTAGGGCTTACATGCAAAACTGAACCAACTTGCACTTGAAAAAAATCAAATTAGAGGCAGTACATACATAAACCAAGGGATTTCGTGTAAATTGCAACAAATCTAAAGCCACTTAGGGCAGAGATCGCAATTTACACTTGAGCATTAAAAAGCAACTAAAATGATAATTATAAACGTCAAAAACTCAAGTGCCCTACATCTTAACATACCAGAAATGTGGCAAAGTTCTAGACTTTTAGTCAACGCTCCCCGGAGCACTGAAATCTGCATATGATTAATTTTAATATTGGGTCTTTCCATCCCCTAACTTAGTAAGCCCAACCATCAAACTGTCTCCAAGAACACAATCAAGTAATTAGTGCAATCCTTAGGATGCACAATTATAGAGAATTCAAATCCAGTTTCCTGATATGTTTAAATTACTTGAATCAAACCTCATCTTAGCCAACTAAATCCATATCATTATAAGTTTCTTACCTTTATCTTAATCCATCTCTTGTGTTTTATTTTATGATTCAGTAGGATACCAACTGTATTTGACAGCATGCAGGCATACATTTCCTACCCTAACGTATGACCCACCACCACCTTCTGTCCCTACAGGTTCCATCATCCAAGCATGCTGTTCAGTTAGTGCATGGGTTTGACTAATGACAACGCCTTCCACTCCCTCAACCGAGGATTTTGTGGGAGAGGTAGGTAGCCCCCATTCCATTTACTTGTATTAGCTTTAACCCCTGCCCTCTCTTAAAACTTCTTGTTATACAAGTATCAGAAATATAAGATTAAGGGATCTGGTCATAAACAGCAACAAAGACTATAAAAAAAAATACAAAACTAGCTATGCATCATTTAACATGTTCTAATCTCAAACTAAAATTGAACACTAGAACATCTCGTTTTCTTCCTAAAGGCTTATTATATTACTGTTGCTACTACAAGGAATTTTTAACAATGTCATTTGTATATTCTTAGAACAAGCTAAGGATGAAAATTTCTAGATAAAGGGATTAAGTAAAACAAGGAAGCTTCAGGTAGAAGCAGAGAGTAAGAAACCAAATATTGCCAATCTTTAGACCTGGTTGAAAACTAATAAAGAATCAACTTTAACATTCTTCCTACTTTAAGGTAACTCATAAAATTACCTTGATCTGTGGTGGTGTGGGGAACAAGAAGCCCCTTCTTATTTCCTGTCAGAGAGAAGCAAGTTCACATTAAACAAAGTCAAAGGCATCTACCAACATACCTCAGATAAGATCAATAAATCTTAAAAGTTCTCACCAGCACACAGCCGTCCTATTATTCTAGTGCCAGCAATAGAGGTCTTAATGACAGGAATGACATCTGCTAACTCTGACTCAAAAGCACTGCAAAGTGCCAATATAACCTTAATACATTAACAAAAACAGGGAAAAGAAGAAATTCTGAAAACATGCTTACCTGTAGAAGTTTTCTGACCCTCCAATTGCAACCAAGCAGTAAGCATTAGTCAGCTTGGAAAAGACTCCAACATCACATGAATTTTCAAACTGAAGCCCTGCATAAATCACCATATGAGACTCGTGATTATAGATATATTTACTCCAAAATGATGGGAAATCACCAAAAAAATATGACTGGTAAATTTTAAAACAATACCATTGTAGAGATTAAATATATATACATACTGAAGGCTGCAATGAAACTTACTAGTTGCCATTATAAAGCGGAAACAATGGATCAAAGGTGAAAACAGAGAGAAAGAAGCTCTGCAGTAAAAAAGATACATTAAACTCGCTTTAACCCATGACAAAAAAAATCCAGAAAACCAAAGAAACATACAATTCTGAAATAAAAAAGTTATACTAATAATATGTGCACACATATTAATATATTCCAAAAATAAACTCTTTCACAAAACCTGTAGTCAAGTTTCTATAGCAATGTATATGTAATAGTTCAAGCAGCAACCCTTTCATCAATTTTTCCCATAAAAAGGAGCTATCGGAAAACATTTAAAACCAATTACACAGAAGGCTCCAAGAAAACTTCCCCCGTTATAAGGCACAATGTTTTACACTTTCCCCTATGATCTAATAGAGATTCTACTCGATGTTGCTGTTCATCCCAAATTATCTCAGAACATTTCTCAAGCATTTATGTAACTTGATTAGACAAAAAAAAAATCACATTAGTAAGCCACACCAAGGACCTATACAGTAACGTAACTCCTAAATTTCCACTGAACTTTAACCAAAACAAAAGGTCAACAGAAACCAACAGAAAAGTCCCCACGAAAAGGGTCAAAACATTGTTATAGCTACCAAATTGTAAAAACATTTAAAACTTTTTTTGAAAACCTCACTATCCATCTTCCGCAAGATTCCCATCACTATAACACAAAAAAAAAATCCAAAAATTTTCCTTCATGATACCTGAACAATTTTTCAACAAAAATCTAAACTTCGAACTTTGGCAAACTCATATCCACTATATATATCAAAGGGGAATTCGAAACCTGCTCAAAACAATACATGATTCTACCATTGAGCTAAATGCTTAGGTGCAACTATATCCAATAATTCAACTCCTTACAAACATTTTATTTCATGCCACTTAATCCAAACCCCTAAAAATCAATTCCAAAGTGACCCTTAATCACCCCTAAATTTTAAAATGCCAATACATACAAAAAGAACTAAATTTTTATTAGGGACAAGATCTGTAAGTATGCATATGATTCCTTAAAAGAAACACATATAATTTAACAGCCTAAACTAATCCAGGTTGACCAGTTAAAGAATTTTGTTATTCCAAGCCAAAAAAACCAAAAAGTAGATGAAAATTGGTCTTAAAATCTTACATTTGGAACTGAAGCAAAGAAACCCAGATAGAAAAACAAAACGAAAGTCTTAAAAAATTAAAAAAGGTAAATTTTTAAATACAAAGAAACACAATGAAGCAAAGAAAAGTTTTGAAAATTTGCTAAAACCTAAATAAATAAATTCTTACATAAACAAATATTCTGTGCTTCCTTAAGGGTTGAGACGCCGGCGTTAAAGGCGAAGAGAGGAAAAAAAGTGAGGTGTTGTAATGTCGGCTGGCTTAATAATAGGTTAACACGCCCTTTACCAAACGACGTCATTTTTCATAATCGAGTACTTTGAAAATAAATAATGAAAATAATGCACCGTTTAAAACTGGGCTCGATAAGAACTTTCCCTGGGCTGGCGACACTTTTAATAGCAGATCCTTGGTCTGGCCCGTCATTACATTATATTTTATAATGTAAAATTTTTTTATATTAATATTTTAAAATTAATATTAAATAAATTAATAATGCTTTGTATCGAAATAATTCATTGAATTTTAATTTATATTTAATTAAAATTTTAATCTTTAATTTATATTTAAATAAAATTTTAATTTTTAATTAATATATTAATTAAATTTAAATTTAAATTTAAATTTTATTTTAAATAAAAATTAAAAAAAAATTTATTTGAATATAATAAAAAATAAAAACTCATTTAAAAAAAGAGGATTGTAATATTTTATCCATTTATTTATTAGACTCCGTTTGATAAATAGTTCCAAAAACAAAAAACTAAAAATAAATAATAAAAGAACAAAAAATAAAACGTTCTTAATAAAAAATCCTACCGATCCATTCTCCCAATTTTCAAACCAAAAACGCGTCTCTAACGGGCCGGGCCGCATCGGAACGTAGGTTACCCCGATTCTTCCATCTATTAATCAATAGAAAGAGTAAAGCGAATGGGTCAGACGTAACTTCGTCTCGAAGGAAACAGAATTAATTTAAGTAGGCGTTTGTTTTCTCTTTTGATTGATTCAATTTGGAGGCACTACCCCTAAGAAATTTTTCATGGTTTCTCTTTTCTTTTTCTTCCTCTGTAAATACTAATAAATTTCAGCTTCCTTTCCTAATTTTTTTGGGTAATTATGGAGGAAATCAATTGGGATAGCCTGTTCCTTGAGCTTGACTCTCCCGATTTTCGAAATATCTTAGAAGACGAACCAGAACCGCCTCAACCTTCGTCCACCGCATCTCCCGGTGAAGAACCGGTGGTGAATTCGTGGGTCGATGAGATCGAGAAGGCTTTGATGGAGGACGATCAATTTGATGACAGGGTCGAGATTCAACCTGTCTCTGATGATTTTTTGGCAGATATACTGGTTGATTCACCTCCTAGTAACAGCGATGAGACCATCGATGATGCTGCTTTCCACAAACAACACCGGACCCGCATCACCATTGATAATGATGATCCCATTGCTAAGAAACAGAGAAGGTATAAATGGAAATTCCCAATTTATCATCTTTTACTGTGATTGAATTGGAAAACTGAATTGTATTTTATCTCAGATTTCTCTGCTGCATGTCTAGTTTGAAGATAATAAATTGGGTTTTAGTTTAATTGGTTGATCTGATATTTTTGTAGGCAGTTGAGAAATAGAGATGCAGCTGTGAGATCAAGGGAGAGGAAGAAGATGTATGTTAAGGATCTGGAGATGAAGAGTAGGTATTTAGAAGGGGAATGTAGAAGACTGAGCCGCATGCTTCAATGCTTCATTTCAGAGAATCAAGCTCTTCGTCTTACTTTGAGTAAGGGTTGTGCATTTGATGCATCCTCGGCCAAGCAGGAGTCTGCTGTGCTCTTGTTGGGTATGACATGATTCACTAAACCATCTCTCTTGTTTCCATTGTCTTCTATTTATATTACAGTTTACAATAGGTAGAATGTATAGTCTTGTCTTCACAAATAGATGTTGGTATATGGCCTCTCCATGTATGTTTTATGACTTTTGGTTCTTCTAGTTGAGCTCATAATGGGGTTGGGTAAATGTTCAACCTTGCCCTTGTTAGTTGAAACTTGATTAGGGGTTTTCATTTCTTTTTTTTTTAATGTAGATGTATTTCAATATACATAATGTCTGCATTACAAATCTAAGAGCTGAAACTATAAAAGTAGTCTTTCTTTACTCAAATAGACATCAAAAAATGAAAGAATTTGTCATTTTTTGTTGTAAAGGTAAGTAGAGTCTTATTCTAATTATTTTGCATCTATAAATATCCAAGATTTGATTTTCCATACCCCATAGATAGTTTGAACTCTATAGGAGCAATACTCTATTTTCGCTCCAGTGGTTTGTAGAGGAATCCTACCTTCACATGTGTGATTTCTTTTCTGTCTATATGCCCTGCAATTTGTATTTGAATTCCTTTTGATTTTCTTTTCTCTCCAAGTGTGGTGTTTTTTGACTTTTAGTTCTTCTAGTGTGAACTCATAATGGGGTTGGAAAATGATCAACGTTGCCCTCGTTAGCTGAAGCTTGATTTTGGGTTTTTCCTTTTTTTAGTGTAGATTTATTTCATTATACTTAATTAATTTCCCATTACCAGTCAACAAACTGAAACTAAATGAAAGGGAGTGCTAGCATAGTAAATGAGAAATTTACAGTTTTTAACTTGAAAGATAATTTTCCTACTTGCATAAACCTATTAGCGGAGAAGTATATATTTCAAGAGGAAGTCTGTTTTGTGTCTTTAATATGCTCCTTATCCTAAAGATAAAGTCTTAATGATCTTCACCGGCCTTGGAGAAACTTCATGCTTTTTGTATTCTCGTTGCTTCTTATGATGGTTTAAATCTTTTACACCTGTTGAGTAGTTTTTATCTCTGTTGTTTTGCAGAATCCCTGCTGTTGGGTTCCCTGCTTTGGTTCCTGGGCATCATGTGCCTCTTCACCCTGCCAACGCTGCCCACGTCTCTTCTGGAGGCAGTTCCACTGGCGAACAAGGAAAAAAGAGGTCCGGAAAGAAGAGGGGCAGGGAGTAGGCTACTGGGACAGTCCTTTGTGAAGAGTAGAAGATGCAAGGCATCAAGGACAAAAATGAAGGAATTTCATGTTTCTAGAATTTTAGTTCCACTTTAAGTTACGGGGATGGTGAACAGGTTTAACTGCTGGTATGATAGGCTTCTATTTACTTATTTTGTAAACCTATATTTTCAAATCGGCACTCTCGGTCTATGTTTTTGCCTTCAAAACTTTTCTTTTGTGCATTTAGTTTGCATAATAAGAACAATAGAAATATTAGTTTATTAGTTTCTGCAGTCTCTCACCTCTTTTACTGTAGAAGTCCAGTCCAATGCTTGTGTTGTCAATTTTGAACAAGGATCGGCGTAAGAGTGCAAGAAAATTGGAAGTTGAAGATTATATGCTGCACAGGGATAATAAGTCTAAATCAAATAGACGGATAAACTTTTAGAAATTACACCTTTAATCCACAAGTCTCCGACCTTTTTTTTAAAAAAAATAATTACTGTAACACATTTCTAAGTGATCTACAGAAGATAATAAAGAGTTTTTATTGGAGTACTTTTTAATCTTTAATATTTTGTATTATTTTCAAAATTATCAGGTAATTTAATCATTTAGTTATTTTATTATTAAGATAATTTTATCAATCGCGTTTTTAAATTATTTTATTTAATTAATAATAATTAATTTTTAAAATTTAAATATCATTATATTTAATATTATTAAAAATATATATTTTTTTATTTAGAAGTTTTAAAATAACGGTTCATATTATAATAGTTATATAAGTTAATGATTTTCAATATTATTTAAAGATAATAATTTGTAAAATATTAATAATTTTTTATTTATATCATAATAAAATATAATTAAATTATTAAATTTATAATTATTTATTGATAGGTAAATTAACTTTTATAATATAAATTATATAAAATATTTTAAATTAAAAAATATAACTAATATAATAAAATCATATAAAAAATATTCTACATAAAATATTTATAAAAAGATAAAATAAAGTTCACAAGTTATTTTTGAACTTGTTGCAATAAATATTAGTTTAAAAATATCAAATTGTATAATATAAAATAATTATAATTTTAAGAGGAAGTAAATTTATAATTCACATATTAAATGAGTATTATTAACTGTTGTTAATTTTACATATCATTTTACTTAGATAAGAAAAACTTTCCACTCTTTTGGATGTAAACTAAATCACTTTTTTAAAAAATAATTTGATTATAGTTGATGATAATAGATCATTGTCATATAAAATCATTATAGTTATCAAATATAATAGTTTAATCATTATATATAAATTATTTTTTTTTTTTTATGATGACCACTTTATACCATACAACATCTTAATGTTCTTGTGTTTAATTTATGTGATATTATTTATCATCATGCAATGGACATTTGTTATTCATGATGAGATAATAAAACTTATTTAATTTACAAGTTTATAAATTATGAATTTATGAGATGATGACACTTATTTAAATCACAAAACTTTTAAAAGGTTTAAAAGACATTTGCATTAAAAAAAAAAAACTAAATCACAGTTTATTACGTTTCAAACATCATAAAATAATAGCTAAATGCTCAAATTGTGATTAAATATTTGAGTGGTTATTTAATTCATGACTAAATGTTTTAATTTGTATAAAATATATAACAACGTAAGATTTTTTTCAACGAAAACTAGGATGTACATGTTATACATAGTAATAACGTGTAAAAATAAAATATATAACAACGTAAGATTTTTTTCAACGAAAACTAGGATGTAAATGTTATACATGGTAATAACGTGTAAAAATAATAAAAATCAGTTTATTAGACAAATTTCATGTTGATTAGGATTTTTTTGAGTATTTTATAAAAACAAATGAAGTGAAAAGTTATTTTTAAAAAATTGAGTTTTATCCAAATTAAAAAAGCAAAAAACCCCCAAACTTAAAGCAGATCATCGTTAATCTTAATCATCCATACAAGTTATTTCAATTACTGATTAAACAAGCAAAAAAAAACCTCAAACTCAAAACATATCATCGTTAATCCTAATCACCTATACAAGTTATTTCAATTACTGATTCAAATTCAATCATTAATTTGTGTGAGGTTAGTTTTTTTGCCAATTGATTATGTTCAAACAATCATTTGGTTCAAGGTTTAAGAGTTGATTCTATTTAGGGTTCAATGTTTGAGCTCTCTAAATTTGAAAGGTTAATTGTTGTTTTTTTTTTTTTGTTAAATTTTGTGTGAGGTGAATAATATTTATATATTTTTGTTGTTTTTCATAGTTAGGTATATTCGTTTAGAGTTTTCTGCTCTTATTCTCTGTTGCTCAAATTTGTAATTAGATATCTTTTTCTGTTTCCCTTACAAAGACTTATATCCTAAAAAAACCCATAGTGGTAAGTGATTGATTGTAATTATTTAATTGTTTATATAGGCTTTTGTTTCTTTGACCTTACATTAATTTTAAATATTTAGAGCTTTTGTGCATAATGAAAGATGGAAGAACTTTATCCTATCTGAAACTTATCTAAACTCTGAATATCTAGATGTAGTTGTTATGTTGAACATGTTTTTTAAAAAAGAGATTATATGTTGATCCCATGTCAATAATAATTAGGCATGTCATTATCTTTTGTTGAAAAACAAAATGATTCTTACTTATCACTTAAGCCTCCACTAGTGTGGGTAGATTGAATCTCCTTTATAATGGTGGTCTTCACCAAGCAGTAAGGCTATCTTGTTATATATAAGAAAAGAAAAGCTATGATGTTAGTGATTCTCATTCACTCTTAATTAGTATAGAAATAAAGTAACAAGAGAGAAGTCCTTATATCCATTCTATAACACAAAATTTTATAACATGCACTTATAGTACTAATAAGAATAATAATATAACAAAGTAGATAAGAAATTTTTTTATACATATTTTTATTGGTGAATATTCCCAACACCATTAGTTGCCCATATAAAGGCAAAAGCTCTATGTATGGATTTGCTATAAGTACGAGTGATTAGGGGAGTAATTAGAGGCACATGCACTCGCAAACTAATTGCAATTTTCATTATCAGAGACATGATAAAAACCACTTAGGTTTTGCTTTAGCGAATGCAATCAACCACGCATTTTACTTTGCTTGCCTTACTTAAAAATATGCATTATCCATGTTAAACTAATCCAACAAATAGCACTACTAGTTAGAAACAATCTGAATATTACATATTGATTGAATGTTTACTTTTAATTTTTTTATTATTTATTCACTATGTCATTGTCTATTTTATATAAAATGAATAGATTTTTTATTTACTATTGAAATGATTCTTGTTCAAATTTAATTTATATTGTAATAGAATTTAATTTTTTTGCTTTTGCAGTATAAGTTTTGATTATTGTATTCTATGATTTCACTATGCTAGAATGAGTAATGGTCATAATTTTATATATATATATAAATAAGATAGTAGAGGGCTTGGTAGTTGATCCTCATAAGACATTTTACTATGAGTTATTAGACATTTATAATGAGGCTAAGTATATGAATATTAGTTAGATATTGTTTTGAAACATGAAAAAACACTAGCTAATGTGTTAATGATAGTAAATGATGATAGAAGCACTTTTGATACGAATAGGTATATGGTAAATCTTGGTGTAGTTTATGTGTATATAGTATATGGTATAGATGAAGTTGTTTTAGCTCTTGAGTTGTTAATAGGACCTAAAGTAAAAGATGTAGCTGAGGTAGTAGGAAATAAATGGATAGGAATTGAAGTTGTAGTTAAGAAAATAATAATAGGGAATGAAAATATAGTTGAGGAAGTAAGGGTAGGTAATGTAGATATATTTGAGGCAGTGAAGATAAAAAATGAAGATATGGTTAGGGCGATAAGTGTGCTATAAAACAATGTTTGCTTATGAAAGAAAGTTGTAATCATTTCAAGTGAAGACTTACAATAACACTCATGATTGTAATAAAGTTTTCAAAAACCTAAGTATAAGTTAAGCTATTTTGATTGAGTTGTATAAAAATAAATTTATGAAAAATCATTTTATTAAGAATGCAAAAGTGTAGGAGTTAGTTAAGAAAGCATTTGATACGAAGATAAATATTAGCATAATAAGAAGGGCTAAAAAAGAGATGGTTGATAAAGTGATTAGCAATTATATGGATGAGTTTGAACTTTTATGGGATTATGCTTATGTGATCAGAGAAATTAATAAAGGCAACTTAGTGAAGATGCAAGTTCATAGGTCATTGCTAACTTCTCCACTTATATTTAAAAGGTATTTTATCTATTTCGAGGCATTTAAAAAATGTTTAAAGAGTGATTATAGGCCTTTTTTTAGACTAAATGGTTATTGGCTTAAAAGCTTGACAAAGTGTGTTGCTATGTGTTGTTTATAGAGGTAAAAATAATCAAATGGTTCCAGTGACTTAGGTGTTGGTGGAAGTGGAATGCACAGTTTCATGAAAATGATTTTTTAATTTGTTGAATTAGACATCATGTCTTTAGGAAATGAAATAGGCTAGACAATCATGACAAATTAATAAAAGTAAATATTTAAATGCTGATTTAAATTAAATAATGTTCTCAATGCTTAAACTAATCACTTGTAAGACCTTGATGACAATTGCAGAGTTATTTCCAAATGTTGAGCATAGATTTTGTGCTAGGCATATATATATGTTAATTAAGCTAAAAGAGGACAAAAGGGTGATGAGATGAAATGGATTTTTTAGACAATTGCTATCTCTTCAACAATAAGACAATTAGAAGAAAATATGAGGAAATTGTAAAAAAAATAAGATTGTAATTGTAGACATAATAAAAGCCCTACCTCAGTAATGGTGTAAAGCATTCTTCAACATATACTTTAGATGTGAATTGGTTGATAATAACTTATATGAAGCATTTAATGGGACATTGCTAGATGCAAAGAAAAAAATTAGTGATTTCTTTATTTGAAGACATCATATGATCTTTGATGGTAAGAATTAAGAATAAGAAAAAAATGTTCTAAGTGAAAAGGTATGATTGGTTCTAACATTGTAAAAGTCATAGAAAAAAATACATTTATAGCATCATAATATGTAGTTGTATTTAATGGAGATGGTGGATATAAATAGATTTGGATCTAGATAGGTTCATTGTCTAGTTTGATGAGAAAACATATAGTTGTAGAATGTACAACTTTTTAATATCCCATGTACATATGTCATATGTGTAATTAGAGATCTAGGTGAAAATG